AGGAGAGTGAAAGAGAGAGGATGAGAGAAGTTGTAACAAGGTCTTGCTATGTTGTGATCCTCCTGTGCCAGCCTCCCGAGGTGGCGAGGTTTACAGGGCAGGGCTGTCATGCCCAGATGATTAGGTTGGTTCCTGGACCAACTTGGGCCTCCTAGCAGCCTCAGCCTTACACAGTTTGTGCCACTGCAGCTATTTTATAACTATCATTTAAAAAACATTGTGTCCTGGGAACCAGCAGTTAGTGTAATGGCTATGCCGCTGGACTCCCACGTAGTCGACCGCGGTTCGCGTCCCGGACCTGGTGGCTTAAAACTCACGCCAGGCACATGTGCGTGCGTGCCCAAGATCCCGAGAGGAGAATGGAGGAGAAGGGATTGCGGCTTGACCATCCCCCCTGGGGGATGATTTCTCGCTTTCTGTCTCTATGTCTCTCTCTGTCTGTCTGGCGAGCGCACGCGCCCTATGGTGAAAACCTCTCCAAAAAAAAAAAACAAAAAAAAAAATTGGCCTATTGCTATGTGTGCTTCATAATGAGAATTATGGCATCATACAAGTATTTGGAAAGTAGCTTTAACAGAAAGGCCTTAAAATATTTCATTTGGAGAAAACTCTATAAGCAAATTCTCTACTCAGCAATCAGAAGAAAAACCCTGGTAAATACAAATTTCTCTTAATTTCTTCACTTTATGATCTTTTGTTTTAATATGAACTTTTAAAGGAAAGAAAAGCTGATCAAAATTAAGTGAATATATCTTCCAGATACTTTCCTTGCTCGGCTTTTAGAGATTGAGTCAGATTGCTAACATCTTGGACCAGCCCGGTAGTCAGTGGTGAAGTGTTCTGCCTAGAAAAAAGGATCCTACATGATTGACTGTGGTTCAAGTCCTGGCCCCAGAGGCTTGAAGAACACACTGGGCACATGTGTGTGCATGCCCAAAATTTTGACAAGATAGAGAAATGGAGGAGAAAATAAAGGATGTAGTGTAACCAGGCCTTGGTAAGGGGTGCTTTCTCTTCCTCTGATGGGCGTATGTGCCCACTGCCCCATAAAACAAAAATCTAGTCCAAAGCCATGTCCCTAGTGTACATTTAATTGTTAAAGATGAATGTATGTTGGGAACCAGCAGTTAGCGTAATGGCTATGTCGCTGGACTCCCACATAGTCAACCGCGCTTCGCGTCCCGGACCCGGTGGCTTAAAACTCAGGCCAGGTGCGTGTGCGTGCGTGCCCAAGATCCCGAGAGGAGAATGGAGAAGGGATTGCGGCGTGACCATCCCCCCTGGGGGGTGATTTCTCGCTTTCTGTCTCTATGTCTCTCTCTGTCTGTCTGGCGAGCGCATGCGCTCTATAGCGAAAACCTCTCAAAAAAAAAAAAAAAAAAAAAAGCTAGTTGATAGGTTTACTTGTTGTTGTTGACTGTTGGCTGCCCTCTAGCGGGCTAAACTGTTACTTTACCATAACCTAACTGGAGTCGTTTCTACACAGGAGGGATTAAACGTTCTTTCATGTTTCAGTACTCTTGTTTTTCATTAGCTGAGGTTTTCCCACAACTACTTTTGTAACTTTACTGGAGTATTTTGATGATGATAGTCTGAAGTAGCTGGCATAACCAGTATATATAACATTCTATATTTTTAAGACCACACATGAAAATAACTTGATCTCATTGACAGTTTATGTGTTTTCATGAGTTTGGCTTTTTTTCTTTTTTGGGAGGGAAGTTAGGTATTTTGTGATCCATGGTGCTCATTTCTCAGATATACTCACTGTTCTTGCTTGCAGATGCTACAACTGTGGCGGCCTTGATCATCATGCTAAGGAATGTAGTCTACCTCCTCAGCCAAAGAAGTGCCATTACTGTCAGAGTATCATGCACATGGTGGCGAACTGCCCGCACAGAACTGTGGCACAGCTGCCCGCCAGCTCTCAGGGAAGACAGGAAGCAGAGGCCCAGCCATGCACGTCGGCCTTCCCTCGAGAAGCGGGAGGAGGCCATGGCTGTGCATCACCGCCGTTTCCTCAGGAGGCGAGGGCCGAGACCTCAGAACGGCCAGGCAGGTCACCTCAGGAAGCCTCCGCAAAGTTGTCTGCAGCACCAGAAGAGCAGAACAAAAAGGGGCCTTTGGTTCAAAAAAGGAAAAAGACTTAACACTTCGTAATGTATCGTTTTCTTTACCCAGTTGGGAAGTCTACCTCATGCAAGTTTAGGGGAACAGTATTTCACAAATATCAGTTGATCTGGGATTTTAACTACTGTTGAGGAACTGTGAATTTTTTAAACAGACAAATCACTCTAAGCAAATTCCATTTGAGCAGGGTGTCATGTGTTAACATTTCTCAGAGTAAGATACTTGTATGTCCATAGGTGCATGTATGAGAAGGGGTGAGCCTGAGTCTGTGTGTGTGTGTGTGTGTGTGTGTGTGTGTGTGTGGATGAGGATTTTACATAGGGACACATATATAAAGAGGGTTTGTCTTTGTATATGTGTGTAAGTAAAAGCACACACCCTCCCTCACATCATCGATCACCTCCAAGAACTGAAACCGCATGTGAAGCATTTTAGATGATTTTGAAAATAACCCCTCGATTTTTTTTCTTAAAATACCACTTCTTTTCTAGTATATAAAAATAAAACATGACTGTTATCTTTTGTGTGAACCAAAGGATACTTCAGATCTCAAAGCTGCCAATCATAGGGTACTAGGTATTTAAGTCATCCCGTTCTGAGTTTCTCGCCTCTTTTTCTTGATATCTGCGGAGCGGTATTTTCGTTTTCCTGTTGAAGGCAGTACTGAAACTCCATATGCCTCTGACTGCCATAAGCTTTTTTTCATTCTGGAATACATAGCTCCAGAAAAGACAATGAATGTGTAATTCCTGTGCCGATATTTCAGTGTTTTTAATTCTGTGTTTTGATTGTAAATTAGATGCCTATTAAGAGAAATGGAGGGGGGGTAATGTATAAATGTAGTGACCTGATTGTTCCCTGTGGTATTTTGATACCAGCTCACTGTAGTCTTCTGCGTGTTGTGAGGCGCTTTAAGGGTAGTGGCAGCGGCAGCCTCCCTTGATTCGGTCAGTCCTCTAACCGTCACTCAGAGCAGGAAGCCCTCCTGACTTACTACTGAAGACCTGAGAGGAAAACTCCAATCATTTCGTGTCTATTTTTGGTGACTGTTTTAATTCCTCCTGGAGAGTTACCTAATTTGTTTCTAAAACAAACGAAAGCAGCATGGAACTGAATAAAATACTGGGGTTGAAAATGGAAATTATGTGGCACTACCCACAACTGCCCAATACACATGACCTGTGAATGATACTAAAAAGCGCAGTGTTTGGTGGGACGCTACCAGTGTGACCAATCCGGGTACAGGTACCAAGACCCACCCACCAGCTAGCTAGGAGTATTTGCTACGATAAAATTGCTCTCACGGGAGTTACTGCAGTACCTGTGCTGAAGGAGCCTGGATGGAACTTTCAGGGTGACCGTTCAGTGCTGGGATAGAGAATCTTCCCATGTCTGTTCTCAGTTATAGTAAAGCACTGTGATTGGCGCCTTTGGATTTCAGTCATGGGAAAAAATTTTAGTTTGGGGTCATCCTGGTTCTAGATTATTACAGGAAATTTTCCAAAACATCTCCATGAAGGTACCCACTAATTATAATGTTTTAATATTGGCAATAAATAGTTTTGTATGGGCCTGTTGGCATAAGCTCAGATAATCAAAAGAAGAGAAAATAATGTGACTCAAATGAGATATATTCTGCTGAACAGTTTATGCTTCCCTGTCCCACTTGCCCTGTCATGGTAGACTTGTGTCGCTGTTGTTTCAGCAAGCCACCATCAGAATAAATGCCTCAGGCTGGACCACACCGGTCCTTTACAACTCGGCTTGGAGGTCATGACAGTGCGTGTGAGAATCGCCATGGTAGATACTGAGATATCCGTGGGCCGTGATGCAAAGCTTACTTTTGACGATATTGAATGTGATATAGCAGTAGAGAAGTACTTCCTTGCGTGTGTGAGGATTTCATGCTTATTTAAATTATGTAGACAAATCAAAGTGGCATTGCTTAATTTTTTAGCAGGTTAACAGTAAAAATGCAAAACATGATAAGTCACTTTGAAAATTCAAACCAAAGTTCCTTGACCTTATAGAAATAGGAAAGTATGGACTTGAAAATTGGACATTCCCTGTTTACATAAGAAAGTTCAGAGCTGAGATCTTAGCGAAACACAAATAACATAGGAACACTTGAGAACTGTGGACCTAATGGGTGCAATTTGTAATCATTTTCAACATCTTACTAGACTGAACTAAAAGCACATACCAAACCTATGTTAGGATGAAAAGCTGGAGTTTATTTTTTATATGAGAATATTATCACTATTCCATAACATACTCAGGACAAAGAACTTTGCTCAGGGAACATAACCATATAATGTTGTTTCTTTACAGACTAGTCTCCACTCCTGCTTACTCAAAAAAAACCAAATAACATACACCTTTAAGTATTATGTACTGATGTTAGTAACTACCTCTGAGTTTGACATAGATCAACATTTTTGAATAGCAGATACCATTCTCCTGTTTTTATTTCACGTGAAGAGAACTCAACTCCGTCATATGTGAATATCACTGATGTGAGCACACTGTTCATTTCCATGGGTGAACTATTATTCTGTTTACAGCAAAAGGCTACCTCATGTTGATACATAGCATACCTTTATGCTGCTCCAGCCTTACAGGTGGCTGATAATTCTCTGGTACAGAACCTTTTTATCTGTGTTATAGATAGCAATTCACAATTGCATGTTTCTGACAAACACTTGTGAATAGTGAAGCATCTCGTTTTAGTTAGCAAAGTCTCCGGTCATTTCTTCGAAGTTATCATGTATTTAAAGAATTATGAGCACTCCTCAACTTAAGCAAAACGGAACCACAGAAACCATCTTGAAAATAGCTGCCTTGCCCAGAGGTGGGAGGCTAGGAGGGGTGGCAGTAGGAGGGGGGTTGGTGGGTGAATTTATTCATGCTGGGCAAACAGTATAAAAGATGCCAGTCTCCCTCATTTAAGTGTCTGTGCTGCTCTGAAGTCAAGCGAATTGCAGCATCGTAGCCCCAGGCATGTAACTAGCACTGACTTGCCAAGAGCCGTCGTGCACACTTGCAGTGCCATCCCCAGCCACTGTGGGCTGAGGGTCTGTGCAAAGCATCAGTTGGCAGAGGTTACTAAAGGCAGGACAGCAAGTCTGTGAATTAAGTTGCCTCTTGCCTTCACCCTCATATCACCATAAATATAATTTCTAAGAGATGCGCCACCAGGCTCTTAGCCCTATGAGCTATTTACATGACAGGTGATAGTGGAAACATTTTTATACATTTCTGATCTTTAAAAGGCTTTGGAAGTATTTTTACAATTGAAAGATTTTTACCTGCTTCTAACTTGGAAATTTAGCGTGCAATGTAAGGAAGATCAAGAAGTGTCATGTTATTAGCATCAGTCCACCTCCAGATAAAGGTTTTATTATTATTTTTTTTTTTTGCCGATTTGTTGTTATTGTATTGTGGCTCAGAATTTATTTTGCACCAGTGCGACCCCAAGTTACTGCTGGTTGTATTTAGTTTGTGAATAGAAGCCTGTAAGTGTTAATAGACTTTGTAACGTTCAATTATAAGATGAATTATACAGGACATGGGAAATCTCATTAAGTCTTAAAGTTAATTTAAATTAATTTATCTGTTTTCTCTAAGAAATGTTTATCATAAAATATATATGTGTATTTCCCCTTTGGTTATGAAATTTGGGAAAGTGTGTACAAGTGCAGCTGCACTGACTTTAATTTTCTAGATGTCTTAATGAGATTTATTTGTTTTAGAGAAGAACAACTTGTTAAAAGTATCAAATTCTGTCTTGCATAACTGTCAACAGCCTCTTTAAGATGTGGTGGTTATGTGATCTGCGTCATAGCTGTTCAGTTGGAGTGAGAGGTGGACCTGTGACTCTGTTAAGTTTCGTATATGGGACGAAGCTGCAAAGTTAGGGTCCAGTGCTGTACTGTGAGAAAGTATTACTACACTGAATACACCTGTGGCTTAACACTTGCGAGAAATACCAGCTTGAAAATGATGGTGTTGACTACCTCTTGAAATCACTTGTATCTATCAACCACTGGCACCTACCACCAAGCTGGCTTTAATTAGTATGTGTTGCTTTTTTTTTTTTTTTTTTTGGTATTAACCACTCTAACCATTCTAGAGACCAAAGTGAACCCTGATTTCTGTATGTCTTTAATATGGTGTTTTATCTAGTGTTTTTAAATTATCCTGTGTAGTATTTTAGATGACCTCATTGTCCATTTTGACTCGTGTTGTTTACAAGTGAAAATAAAAACACTTGAACTCTATGTTTTTAAAGGACAAAAAAGGAGTAGATGTTCAGAACGGCATTTCACGTGTGTACAGTCATCTCGACGGACTTAAAGCACTGTTTGCCTTTTTGCAGACCATGGAGTTTATATTTTCATTTCATGCTTAATGTCTTATTCTGTCAATTATGGATAATTTTGAGGCTTAAAAAAATTACTTGATTAAAAATAAAACATATAACGTTGGCATTATGGACTTGGAGATGTTTTGTAATTTATGGGATTCCTAAATTAAATGCATGGCTCAATGGCCATTTATGCAGTATTCACAACAATCTAAATATCAAATGACTTTAATATATCCTGGAATAATGGGGATTATAAATACAGACCTTTCTTATAGCAACACAGATGGTAGCCTTTTAAGCCACTGAGTCTGGGACTCAAACCACATGGACGGCCATGTGGGATCCAGCCACCTTAACTACCGTGCCACTCTTAACCATTTTCATATGTAAGATCAGTATTGTTAAGTATAGTCACATTCTTGAGCAATTATAGATGATTCACTTTCTTAGGATGTGAATGGCTTTTTGTTACGAAAGCTATTTTTTATAAAAGCATTGTATGCTACTGTAGAGAACATAGGAAACCTTTAAAAAATACATTACCTGGAAATAACCAACTTTCTTCTGTACTTATGCATATATTTCTTTCTCTTATTTTTATTTTTTATATTACATTTAATCACATATATCTTTACAGTGTATGACATCTCTTTTTCCAGCACAATTACCATGCAGCATATATTTATTTCTTATATATTTGTACATATAAAACACACATATGCCTGTGTGAGGATGGTTTTTAAAGTAAAATGAAATTATATAGGGTTGGGAGCTTTACACTTTTAACATTACATAAAGTTTTGTTATGCCAAAAATTGTTCAAAAACAGCACTTTTGATAAATGCACATTTGATTTGCTGACATTAGAACTCAAGTTGAGCACAAAGGAAGGGCCTGGTTTGGATGAAGAGGGAATCAGAAGAAACAGCATAAACAGGAGACCCGAGTCAAGAATAAGCAGGACGTTTACAAGCGGTTAGTAAAGAAATGAATTTGGCCGGACGAAGAATAAGAAGCAACTGTTCCTGTAAATTGGGGGGCAGCCGGCGCAGCCAGGAACATGCAAGGATGCAAACTTTGAAATAAGGGGGTGGCTGAGGCGAACACCACCTACACCCCAGCTTGGCCCCAGGAGCACTTTCCTTCCAGCTTCCTGCGGTGCTGCATGGTGCTTGTGCTCAAACAGGAAGTGACAGTCGTGGCTGAGGAACAGGAACTTCGAGCTGCCGGAGCAACAGTACACAGAAGGACAAATCCCAGAGAGCAGGCTCAAAGCGAAGGGGGCTTCTAGAACCTTTATTGATTTTTTTTTTTTTTTTTTGGAGAGGCTTTTTATATAGGGCGTGCTGTACGGCACGCACACACACGTGCCTGGCGTGAGTTTTAAGCCATTGGGTCCGGGACGCCAACCGCGGTCGACTATGTGGGAGTCCAGCGACATAGCCATTACACTAACTGCTGATCCCCAACATTGACTGATTCTTAATAGCCGAAAATAGCTGAGAGCAGCACCATGACTAGGGTAAGGCAAGAGGTCTCTGGGGAGTCAAGTGAAAGAAGGAGGTCATCTGCAGGGCAGCGCCTTGGCCTACCCCTTCCTTGTCTCCTCTCAGTCCCATCCCTGGCTGGGAGGCTAAAGAGTTAGATGTCCTCAGCCATCTAATGTTGGGGAGATGGTTGGAATTCCAAGCTTCAGTGGGTTAGGAGAGTCTTGGTAACCACCCTGGGTGTGTAGTGTTACCCCACAAAAATGTATATAGACCTTCAAAGAAGACCCTGTCCTAGGAGTAGGGGTCATACAGTAGGGAGAACAGAATTGAACCCGTACGTTCCAGCAAAGCATGAAAGGGGACCAAGGTGGCCAGCTTGTACTGGTCAGCTTGTACATTTCCCGCCCAAAGGAAACTTAACCCTGGAAGCAGGGAGCCTCATCCAAAGCTGCTAGAAAATTTCCATGTCTGGCATCCAATCAAAAAGTATGAAGCATGTTCATAAACAACCAGTTGGCTAGACATGAA